GATCACGCGCTCTCTCCGCGCTCTTGGGACCATAAATCTGCAGCCTCCCAGCTCTTGACTGTCCTCTCTCTCACATCGCCCCATAACTTTATCAACCCATATTGGTCACAGCGACTTGGCAAGATGAAGGTAGGTCCTGGTTCTCCCAATTGCTCCTGAGTGCACTCGCTGACAATGGCGCTATAGTTCCCACAAATCTACAATGTCTACGCCATTTGCGGCTTCGCCGCGCTTGGTGGTATCCTCTTCGGTTTCGACATCTCGTCGATGTCGGGTGCGCTGGGTACTCCGGCCTACAAGAACTACTTCGGCAACCCTAGCGGTACTCGCCAAGGTGGTATCACTGCGTCGATGCCTGCAGGTTCTCTCGTTGGTGCTCTGTCTTCTTCCTTCCTCGCCGATCGACTTTCGCGTAGGAACGCTGTACAAATTGCCGCCCTCATCTGGATTGTTGGCGCTATTCTGCAGGCCGCCTCCAACGGCGTTGCTCTCCTCTGTGTTGGTCGTCTCATTGGTGGGTACGCCATCGGTATCTGCTCCGCCATCGTTCCAGTTTACCAAGCCGAGATCGCGCCCAAAGAAATCCGAGGTAGAGTGGTGTCGTTGCAACAGTGGGTATGTCACTCTTCGATTCAGGGTGAAGCTCAAGCTAATTCCACTTAGGCTATCACCTGGGGTATTTTGATCCAATACTTCATCCAATACGGCTGTTCTTTCGTCGATGGAGGTGTCAACAACCCGAACCAGAGCACTGCGGCTTTTAGAATCCCATGGGGTGTCCAAGCTGTTCCTGGTGCTATCCTCTTCATCGGATTCTTCTTCTTCCCTCGCTCTCCTCGATGGCTGGCCTCCAAGGACCGCTGGGAGGAGGCCCTACAGGTTCTTGCCAACCTCCACGGTGCCGGCAACGTCAACCACCCCAAGGTACTTGCCGAATACAAGGAGATCGAAGAGGCGCTTGCATTCGAGCGTGAGATTGCTGAGACTAGCTTCGCCGCCCTGGCCAAGCCTCGCATTGTCAAGCGTGTCATCCTTGGTATGTCCATCCAGATGTGGTCGCAACTTTGCGGTATGAACATCATGATGTACTACATCGTCTTCATCATGCGCGGAGCGGGTATTGCCGACGAGCTCCTTACTGCGTCAATTCAGTACATCATCAACGTCGCCATGACCCTACCAGCTATCCTCTACCTCGACAAGTTCGGTCGTCGTCCTGCTCTCCTCTGCGGATCTTTCATGATGGCTGTCTGGCTGTACACCACAGGTGCTCTGCAGGCCTCCTACGGTATTCCTAACCCAGACACTACCGACAAAGATATCTCTTGGGTGGTACCTCGCGAGCACAGCGCCGTTTCCAAGGGCATTGTCGCTTGCTCATACCTCTTCGTAGCCACTTTCGCGACCACATGGGGCCCGACGTCATGGACATATCCGTCCGAGGTAAGTGCCCACTGTAAGGGATGCATGTGAAACGTACACTGACTTGTTCTACCTCTGTAGATCTTCCCTGCCAAGGTTCGCGCGAAGGCCGTGTCGCTCGCTACCGCCGCCAATTGGAGCTGGAACTGCATTCTTGCTTTTGCCGTTCCCCCTCTTCTGTGGTCCATCAACTGGAAAATGTACATGATCTTCGGAACATTCAACGCCGTTGCCTTCATCCACATGTTCCTGACTGCCCCGGAAACTAAGGGCAAGACCCTTGAAGAGATGGACGACGTTTTCGACTCTGGTCTTCCTGCCTGGAAGGCTGGCAAGGTTGAGTCGCGTCTCGACCGTGTCACCCGCGACATTGAGGCCGGTAACCTCAAGGTCGGACGTCACGGGCACGACCACGGTCATGTCGAGAATGTCCACGCTGAGCCCAAGGTCTAAACGGACATCTTTAGCGACATCGTCCATACAATGACGAGTGCTGTATTTTGCCACCTTTGGTTCCTGGTTACTGGGACTAGATAGGCTTTCCAGCGGTTTGTTGGGTTGCATTCGGTTATAGAGTTACGACCATCGTCGATGACGCGGTTCACGACTCTATCTGAGCGACTTCAAGTTGTTTAACTCGGACAGCCACGTAGCATAGTCCATGAATCCATTCGCTAATCTCTTATTCCCACAATCGTACCTTACTATCCGGGTATAGAGTGTCAAACAGCCATCACTAATCACGGAAGGCCTACACATGTAGCTTAGCTGACTTCGAGTGATAGGTTCGGGCTACAAAGGCGAAGCTATTATAGTCCGTCTTGGAAGCCAAAAGCGCCGAAAAAGAGCCGCATTGTCTTGTTGATGCGATACTGCGTTTCGCGTCCATGCAGGGGCTGTGTGAACCAAATTCCATCGCTATCAGCGATTCCCATTGCGGATGTAGGATGGCGCAAGCCCAAGATGTCGCAACACCAGGGCCAAGGGTGTTGGCGATATTAAGGCGCACGGGACCGACTCAGCGTGCTCAGCCGTCCACGGACCTCCCGCTCTCGAGGAATGCTGTGGCAAGGTTATTGCAGGAACGAGAACGAGTGGTTCGCTATTCAGCGCACGAGTGTGTATGAAAACCTTCGCATGCGTTGCATATGCAAGAAACGACCAGAAGTTCTTCGCATGGACGCCTTATACCTGTTGATCCCTTCTGGAAATACCGCAGAACGGCACGGAGATGGGCGATAATCGACCCAGGGTTATTTCCATCATGGGGGCGACCGACAGAGTTTCGCTTCGGTTGAGTCGCCGATTTGACGCGAAAGCGAAGAAACCACTCAGGTACAGGTGCAACCCAACTGGGCAGCAACGTAAGTTTAAACGCACGAGGGGATTCAGTTCCGACTGGTTGCTTTTTCGCTTAAACATGCTGATCCGATGTTATCGATGATGGGGAAGCTGATCCCGCGCCCCGTTGTGGAAATCCACGATCATGCCATGCGCCGCTAGGTCCCCGAGCCCAATCAACGATCACCTGGGACTAGCATTGGGGCTCTCAAATCCGCGCCCCCGTTCTGCCCCCGTCTTCAGCTGTATGGTTCATGACATGGCCAAGTGTACCAAAAACGCCACGAACCCGTCAGGCACCCATGCATCGAGTCAGTCTCTGGGGTAGTGTCCGCAACGCCTTCTGCTGTCTGCGTTCCTCTCATGATGAACCGTCTGCCACCACTGCAACCACACTGAATTATAGTTGCAACATGTTCGCTGATCAGCATCTTGCAGCATCTGCGTCGATCAGCAAGGCCACCAACACTCTCTTTGATTGAAATACCCCAGGATTCCACGTGGATATCGGATTCTCCAGTTCAGTTCGCCATCTCAACGAATGCGCTCTCTACCTCACCCTCATTCATCTCATTACTTTCGAAGTCGACGGAAAGACACCTGACTACCTTCACCATGTCGGACAAAGACTCAGAGTCCGGCGTCACTGGCGGCGTCCAGGCCAGCATTCCTATCCTTATGACCATGTCTGCATTCCTCGCCATTGGAATGTACAACATGGTCGAGATCCTCTTTCTCATCTTCGCCGTCTTCAAACAACGCCGCGGGTTGTACTTCTGGAGTATGCTCATCGCCGCAGGAGGAATCGCCCCTCACGCCATTGGGTTCATCCTCAAGTTCTTCCAGGTCACGAAGCTTGACTTGCTTTCGAGCGCCATCATCGGCGTAGGCTGGGTCACTATGTGCCCTGGACAGTCCCTTGTACTGTACTCTCGCCTTCATCTTGTTGTCGCGGACGCTAGGAAGATCAGATGGGTGCTCTACATGATCATCTTCACCACGATCGCTCTCGGCGTTCCTCTATTCACCTTCGCCATGGGCGCGAACTCCAAAGATTCCCTCAAGTTTCTCCCGGGATTCGAGATCTACGACAAGGTCCAGATCGTTGCTATTTCAGTTCAGGGTAAGTGTTTCCATCCAAGCCGCATATGAGACAGACACTGACTTTGTACGCCTGTAGAGATGGCCATATCGGTTATCTACATCTTCCGAACAGTAAAGATGCTCCGTGGAGATTGTGGTCGACGACGTGGATCTTTGCGAAAGCTTTTCATCCACTTGATCATCGTCAATGTCGCAGTCCTGGCCTTCGACATCACGCTTATCGCAGTCCAATTCTCCGGCCACTACGAAATCCAAACCACATACAAGACGGCAATCTACAGCATCAAGCTCAAGATTGAGTTCTCTGTCCTCAACCGCCTTGTTAATCTTCTACAACACAAGAACCTCTTCGGCGATGGCGCTACACGTTGCCATGATGTGGAAAGGTGGACGGACAACAAGAGGACGTACAGCTCGAGCAACCGTGGCGGATTCACAAAGATGGAAGAGAGTGGCTCGGTGGCGAATAGCGACAAACACTCTTCGGTCGTGACATGCCCGGCCAAGGCCAGCTTCCGCATGACAGGGAAGGCTGATGTGGAGTTGGATGACATCATGGATGATGCTACGTTGTACTCGGAGGGCAGCAAGAGCCGAAATAACTCGGGCTGCCAGGGCGATTGTCGCAGTCAGTGTTGATACCCAGGTAGTGTACCGTAAAGGCAACTGCTTACTATATAACGAATGAAATAACGACATAATATACCCCAAAACACGTTCACTATGCGATTGATTGCTGCTACGATTTGCATTTTGTCATCAAGTCATGAAGCATCAAGGACAGCAGCACTACCTGTCGACCAACGACTCATTATAGCATCGACTCTATGATACACCCGTGCCGCAATATCGTCTTAGCAACCCAGTCTTACCTAACCCCAGGTGAAGTTGTCTCTCACTGCTCATTGCCCACAGCCACGTTTTCTCGCCACTCTCGTTGGCAAACCTCTTTCAGGTCCGGCGTATATACAAGCTGTCTATTGCGGTAGAGGCTTCTTCCATCCTCCACCAACCTGCTTCTACACCAAAGAGTCGATTCTTTCGGCATATTCCACTCAAACGCGACTGCAAAGTCCAAAATGGGCGCCACCACGCAGCATCCAGCGACTCTACAGCACGCGCAACCTCCATCCATGGCAGCCCCACAGAAGTTTATCTACTCCGACATGTTCCTCGATATGTAAGCAGGTGATGTCGCAGTCTGAAGCGACTCCTCTAATGTCAAGAAAGGATTCAGGGCAGCTCCATCACAGTCATTGTCGGTCAACACCCATCATGTCGGACCTACACGCTTCCTGTCGCTCTACTCTGCGTTCACTCTATCTACTTTCGCGACCAGATTACTCGCATCAACGACACGGTGTTGAAGGATCATACAGCTAGCAAAAAGCGCAAATTCTCCACTTCTGACGATGACGTGGTGGTGATCAAGGAAGAGGATGGAGAGCTTGCTAAAGAGGAAGACACGAAAGAGAACACAGAAAACGACGAGAAGGTGATCAGGTTACCAGATGTGGATCCCGCCATCTTCGGCCTCTTCCTCAAGTTCATCTACAAGGACTCATACCCATCCAACGTCGACGCGAGGAGTCTCCCAAACAACGCCAATTTTTATCCCAGGACAGCAAGCGCAAACAGGGCAAGTTCCGTTCCAGCGACAACCGTAGCACCTCAGCAACCACCCACTCAGATGCCGTCTCACTTCCAGCCCAACTACCCGCTCACCCCCGCTCAAACCCCAACCCGAACAAGCATGCCACCCCCTCCCATCCCACACAACATAACCTCTCCCCAACCCATTCCCCCCTCGATCCACGCCTGGCTCCTCGCCCAACGCCTCGGCGCCCTCTCCTTCATGAACCACACCATCCAACACATCTATTCGGGAATCGGTCGTCACTTCGCCCTCACACCCACGCTCATCGACCACGTATGGCGGGAGACCACACCCTCCTCATCTCCCACATCAACGATTCTAACACCCTCGCCCCTCCGCAACCTCCTCCTCCACACCCTGACAACCTACTGGTCGCAGCCGGGCCCGCAGCAGAACCCCAACGCCATCATTTTACGCTCGCTATCTGTGTCGCACGGACAAGGCCATTTCTCGACGGGGTTGAAAGACGCGTGGGATAAGCTGTTCAATGAGCATGAGGATTTGAGAAACGAGTTTATCCATGGGTTGCAGGCGGGTCCGGGGCAGTTGGGTGTTGTGGGGGCGTATTTCGCTACTTCGGGGACTGTGGTCGTGGGAACTGGAGGTGGAGGTGGAGGTGCGGGTAGGAGCGAGGCTGTGAAGGGCAAGGAGAAGGAGAAAGGTGAGGGTGATGGATGGGTGGACACAGGCAGGAGGGTTATCATCAAGGAGGAGGAAAGTGGTGAGATGAAGGTTTTGAATGAGACGAAGGCGACTCGTGTCTGAACGGGTGCGCTCTACTCTTTTCTGCTGGACTTCTTTCTGGTACGAGACGAAAAATTTGGAGAGCGGGATCGGCGTTGGAAGCGTACAAAAGCGAACGGCTTAGGCCAACTATGATTTTTGGGCAAGAAAAAGTTGGCGTATCGATCATAGAGTCATTACTCCATCATACCTTATCTACGGTGATCGTCGGGTATTTACATCGTTTGCTCAGCTCCACGGTTCCTCTTCTGCTCATGACTTTTGCACACCCCTTCATATCATTACATCCGTTTCCAATCCAATCTTTCAATATACACGTCGTGACTTGTCGCAAATACCATAGATGTACGACCCTTAACGAGTCCAAGCATCAGCAACACGTTCCTGCCACTCATGCTCCATATCCTCTGCGCACTGCTTGCAGACTCCCATACGGCAAACATGAATGTCGCACTCCCAGAGCTCTTCTTTGACATCTTCGTTGCAACGGTCGCAGAAAACAGGGACAGAGACATGCTGTTTGTAGCCCACAGCGGTATGTAGATACGGTCGAACTTCCAGGCTGTTGATGGCGACCTCGTCGGGTACAGTCTGGAGGTTGATAGGGTGGAAGATGTGGCCGTTCTTGAGACAGTAGTGCTCTTTGGATGACGACTTGGGAGGGAGGGGAGGTGTAGCGTGATCTTCTTTGGGGAATGGGGCAGGAGGAATTTGCTGGTCGGCAAGTACATCGAGATCGAGACGTTCGGAAAGAGGGCGTTGTTTGGTGTGGTCGTAGTCAGACATCCAGTCTTGGACAAGAAGACGTGACTCGTCGCGCGGCAGCTTCACTTTCTTGTCCTTGTCGAGGCGGTTGAACTCGCTAGCGGAAAGAGGGCCATGCATTACGGTAGGCTGGACTCTGTTAGTTGCATCTGTAGTAGTTGAGAGATACTTACGCACCTCCACATACTCACTGCGCTCGTTGAATGGACTGATCTTTTCGTCATGTTGAAAGTAGTAGGTAGGTTTGAAGGGGGCCTTGAGCTGACTAGATAGGGCTAGCAGGGGCAGTGGGTTAGGTGGGGCAACCGGTGCGACTCGTGTGGGTGGTGCAGGCGGTGCCAGAGGTACAGCTGGTTCCTTCCTCGTAGGCGGAATATCGACAAGCTTGACCATACCGGGTGTGACCCGCATGAAGGGTACGGTCGTGGCGTCATGTAAGGTGGGCTCTTCGTCCAAGCCATCCTCGTCGTCGCTGTCAACCTGGCTATCCGCACCACCGCAGAGCTCACACTCTCCTGGAGCGGCGTGACAACGCTGTGCGGCTGCGAAATCCGCTTTCATGGCCTCATTAGACGCCTTCAAGGTAGTGTATGTGTCGTCGAGAGTGAGTCTATCAGCGTCGTTTTGGTCTAGCACAGCCTTGCTCATTGCTAGTCGCGCGTCTGCTTCGTCAAGCAAACGGTCTTCAACCGTTTGCAGTGGGCCGCGGAGGCGGAACACCGTAGATTGCAGAATTGCGCCATTTTTGACCTCAACCTCGTTACCAGGATGGGCCGCGAAGTCTTCTTGCTCGTCGTGAGCCGCCTCATCAATGACTTCGTCTGTGATTGAGAGGTCGTCCTCTTCCAACTCGTACCTGATATTTGTTGTGAGCAATGACTCACTACGCGACCGAGATAGCGGTGCCTTGGAAGGAGCTTTCGCATACTCAGAGATATCGTTCAGCTCAGGATCATGTTCGCTGATTTTGTAGGAAGTGCGCAGCTCATCGTGCGACGTCTCTGTAATGGGTGCCATCCTCTCGAGCTCCTTAGGAAGCTTCTTGCGCATACGTCTTCTCGGAGCTTCGGGGACAACGGGCGGAACTGGTGGGAGCGAACGGAACTGGCCATGTCGTTCGGCGTCGCTACTACGGTATGTATCAGTATGTTCTTCTGGACGCCACGCTAGAGAAACAGCTGCGACGCGCCCCATGTCGGCTTCACGGCTAGCATTAGATGGTGCAGATGGGAGTAAGCCTAACATTCGCTGAGCTTTCCGGTTAGTGTTGCCCCAGAAGCCCTTGGGCTTTGATGGCTCCATGTCAAGGCCCTCTTCCGTGAATTTCGTCTGTCTGTCCGACGCGCTCTTCTGAGTGGTTATTGCCGACATAGAGCCTCGCCTTGTCGATATCGGGCGTATCGGTAGGCTATCGTAGCCGCCATCGTTCTGGGCTGGACGGCCTACAGAGGTACTCCGGGGTCTACCAGGGCTAGGTCCAGGGTCCACGCCCAGCAACTGTGCAGCCTTGATAGGCGTCAACGGCGGTAGAGGCGACAGCTGGGGAGTAGGCTCATGGGAGCTGCTCGGGCGGTCTTGGTCCTTTGCCTTGCGGCCGAATTTGCCATGCCTCTTCTTGCCATCCGTAGCTGCTGTTGATGCGCTTCCTGTTGTGGGTGTAGGCGAATGGGCGGCCGGCATAGTCGAAAAGCCATCGGATGGGCGCGCTGGGAGAGGGCGATGACGGTCGCCTGGAGGGCCACTGCTGTGTACGTAGGAGTTGACCATAGGATTCGAGGGCGCAGAAGGAGGTGAAACATGAGAATGTTCAACTTGATCCGTATGCTGTGCTGCGGTGACACCACTCGCATTCTCCCTCCCGGCGAGTGAGTCAAGACCGAGATTGGGCGTAGTGTTGGAGCGCGGTGCGTTGGAACGGCGCGTGTTGCGGCGTCTCTGACCGCCAACCATCACGGCGGCAGGGCGCATGCTCCACGCGGGGTTGGCGGAATCAGGTACGACCATTATCCCAACAGAGAAATATTTTCGTGTACTGTAGGGTAGTACCGATTGGCGGTGGTGCAGGTGCGCGATTCGAGTGCGACAAGGCAATCAAACCAGAACGAAACCAGCGACCCAGACCAAAGTAGAAGCGCGACGACTATCGGTGCATTGGGAAATCGCAATCGGGTTGCGGTTGTGGAATGTGGTGATCCACTCAAGTGGTGACTCGACCACAACAAACCGAGCTTGGAGCTCTGTCCACCAACAAACGGAGCGTGTTGCCGCACAATAGCGGCAGTGAATGGGGAAGGCGCGGCATAAAGATGACGTAGGCGATGAGAAGCTCGGGACTAGCGAGTGAAGGAGGAAATGAGAGAATTAGTCGTTTCCGATATGTTTATTACGTACGGTGACGCCTGGTGAAGAGACACAGATTTGGGAAGGAGAATGTGGCGACGGAAAGAACGACCCCGAAGAAGAGAATTATAGAGTTAATAGAGTTAAACGACGCTACGACAAAAAGAAGACCTTTGCTCCTACAAACCATGTAATAAGATCTGGGGGTATCTTTGTGTACGCGATTGTGCTACCATCCATGACTTCGCTCGTGTAGCATCCGTCTCTGTGCACTGATCTCAAACCCAACGTCACGTAACACCCACTGCACCCGAGACCGAAAACGCTTGACTGACCTTCACAAGAAGTCGAAGAATAGACGAGGGAAAATTTCTGAACCCGTGCTACGCGCTGGAAACGCGGATGTTGTCTCGACGTCGCAACTTCCAACTCCTGCGTCTAAGGCCTGCCATCGCTTGTCTGAACCACCGACGAACTCGATGCTACGAGCCCGTTGTGTGTTTGTCGCTCTTGGGGCTGCTGAGCCTCGCGACCTGCTCAGTGACCGTGCTCCCACTTCTTGCTCGTCCAGCCTCTGGCGACGCAGGGATATCGATAGAACTCCTCAACCCAACTCCGCTGATCCTACCAGCAGGTGTCACAGGTCTTGCTTCCTCAGAAGCCTTGGGTGGTTCGCCAGTCGACTCCATTGAATCCGGTTCGCGGGTCAATGTAGCTGACTTCGATGACTTGCTGCTGGGACTTGCGCCAAGACCTCGGTGAACCTCAAGTGTGCTGGATCCATGGAGGAAGTCGGAGATGTCTGCATCGCTCGTGCCTTTGCCATCCGGTGTCTTGGGTGGACCTCCGGAAGGACTTCGCGGGCTTCTGGGCATGTTAGGCTGGAAGAACTTCTGGACAGCGTTGCGGTCATCCACTTCATCCTCCTCGTCACTAGTCTCCCCGAAGTAAATACTGTCCCAATCGCCCGAACCCACACTACGGGTCGAGTCGGTCGTATTCGATCTCTTGGGTATCCTTAGACTGGGCGGCTTGAGCGGGGCTAGTTCGTCCGCGACTTCCCTCATCTCGCTATCAGTGCGCTCGATAGGTGGCTGCAGTCGCTCCTGCCCCTTGACGTGTTCACCATCTTCGTTGATTGGCTTGTTCACGGCTTGTGCACGATCAAGGGCGGGCTCCTCTTCATCTCGCGTGTTTGCCGAGTAAGTGTCTGCGAAGTGCGTATCGCAAAGGTGCTTGACGACAGGCCAACCATGGGCATTAGCAAACATACGACGCACTATCATGTTGTTATGAGCGTCGGGCTCAAGGCTGACGAGAACCTTGCGCCAAGAAAGGTCCTTGTGATAAGCGCGAGCAATCTTCTCTTCCACGCGCATCACACTCTCGTCGACACTTGTTGTCGATGCCTTTGAAGCAGTACTATCACCAGAGAAGTTGCGCACTGGCTTCGTCTTCGTAGGTGGCGGCGGAATGTCTTCAGGATGGTAGATTCTGTCGTGGAAGATGGTGCGTGCTCGAGTGGATGGGTCTGTGATCCAGGACTGGGGAGGAACAGGAGGGTTGATCAGGTCACCAGCAGACTCAAAAATAGTCGTTTTGGGTGGCGCTAGGTGGCTCTTGGGATTATCGACAATTGAGTCTCCACGGGTTGCTTGGGGTCGCTTCCTTGGTTGTGCGCTATGTGACGATGTCGCGTGATCTGCTTCAGCCGGAGAAAGCTCGTCTTCTTCGTCTTTCCCAATAGTCTGACTACGACTAAACATCTTCTTGTCGCGCGAAGTGTGCTTTCCAGTCGGCCTGATGTAGCTCCACCACTGCATCAAAGTGTTTTGCGGCTGAAAGTACTGGTCGTTCGGCTCTTTGGCTTCTGGACTCTTCTTCCCTCCTTCGATGGCCTGATGGGCAGTTGGCTCTGCAGTAGATACTTGTACTTCGTCTTCCTGATTTGTGACGTCGGCGCCTGGCAGGGGTACGGTAGTATCGTTGCCATTATAGGTTGGCGATTCGACCCCAGAACCCTCATCGTCCGAGAATCCAATTCTAGAGGGGTTGGGCGAAGAGTTCTGCCCAGTAATCTGGCCGTAGCCCCATACCGCTACCGTGCCGATGAGACCGTTTTCTCTACGAGCCTTCTCAACCCGACCCAAGCCTCTCCAGTCCAAGAACAGAAGACAACTCGTGCGCAATGGTACTATACCATCATTGACAACATTGGAGTACAAAGTACGGTTTCGGAATCTTCGCAAGACTTGGTGCGCCGGTCCTGTAGGAAGAATGCGCAGCAAAGGCTTTGCGCCGGGATCTTCTTGGTGCTGATCTTGGGTTTGGTTACCAAAGACGTTGCCCATAGCTGTCCAGCCGCTCTTCGCCAACGTCGGTGCTCTCCAGGTAAGACCAAGATCCTGGCCTGTCCTCCCCACTAGGCCAAAGTCCAGGGCAAATTTCACGTATGTGGGGTTCTCATTGCTCAGTCCTAAGAATGGAGACGCCATAGCGATGAAGTTGATGGGCTTGATTGTGTCGAAGAAGTTGGGAGAGTGCTTGTGGATGTATGCGATTGCGTACGTCTGTACCAATCCTCCGAGAGAGTGGCCGATGAAACTGATGCTTGTGAACTTGTATGCGCGCTTGTCATGTCCTGGGGATGTGTGCATCACACTGCTACCGTGATGGGACGGTATGCCTTCGTCTGGCTTGTCTTTCGTTGGCGAAAATGTGTTGGACAACTTCTGCCCCATGGACTTCTTGATCGGCAGGTATGGTTGGTCAGGGTAGGTCAGGTTCAACACGTACTTAGCGAGCCGCTTCCCGAGATACTGGATGCCACGTTCTGTACGTATTACGTTGCCGTCGAAACCTCGAACAATCACATCTTCTTCATCGTCATCCTCCTCGTCATCTGGTATGTCCTCTTGGCCGCCTGACAGTGGTGCTGTCGACGCATCTTGATCCGATCCGGTCTTCTTGGCTCCTCTTTCCTCTCTTCGCCGCCGTCTTCGATCTTCCCGCGCCTGCTTTGCCGTCGCATCAATGCTCTCTTTCAGATATAGCATGTCCGCGCCGAGATTGCTGTGTAGACCATGCGTTACTATCACAAGGTGTATGTTCTTCTTCTTCTTTTTCTGGTGGCTTTCCGTTGGGCTATTGTGATCTTTCGACTTTCTTGAAGCGACCTCGTCCTCCTCTTTCCACTCCGGTAGTTCCGGTGTATTCCACAAGCTCGTAGTATCGTCAACCACTAGTTTGACCGCCTTTGAATACACCCCCTTAGGCTGTGCCGGATGGTGCAAAACATGTTTCTGGCTTCCCTGTTGGTGATCTTGTACTTTTCCTGGAGTTCCGTGGCTATTGCCAGTGACAGCAGTGAAGCCTAGGTCTAGCGATCGTTCGTCGCGTGCCACGAGCAATTCGTAGTTTACAGACGCGGAATTGGAGAAGATTATTTGCGATGCGATCTCGATGATCCATGTGAGGCTCTTCGGGGTGCCGTCATCCTCCCTGATATCGCTCCTATACTGTTCCGGAACAGTCAACTTGGTGTTCCAGTATCCACCAGCCTTGACATTAGGCTCAAAGTCGGGCTCGCCGTAGGTTGCGTCGGACTTTTTGTTCGGGTTGAATGTTGAAGGGTAGGCGGATACGTGAATCGTGTATGGCCCGTGGAGGTATGCGGCGCGTAGAGGGATGGCGGAAGAGTTTCGTATGCGAACGTGGAGGGAGGAAGGAGGCGGTAATATGCGGTCTTCGGAGGGGGTGTATGTGAGCGTGTATCTGCATGGCGACTTAGCAATCCGTCCTACAATCTCCCTAAACGTTGTCGCGCACTGCCCATCTCGTATAGACAGTGCGTACAGCGTCCATGCCATCCCGCCGGCAGACCCTGAGAACTCACCTCACAACCTCTCCCACCTTGACGCTCCCCTTTTGATGCAGCAGCAACATCTTCAGCGCGCGCTTTTCCTCGGCTTCGCGTTCCTTCCGCGGCTTGACACACACAAAGTACGAGGGTTCAGGGCGTTTGCGGCCCGTGTCGGCGATGTGAGCGAGGGAGTAGGTGCGAGGCGTGAGCAGCATTTAGCGGATCCAGCGGAGACCGGTACGACCAATGGACAACAGCCACAGGCGCGTCATAGGACATGAGTAGTTGTGGCTGATCGCTCCGTACGAAATAAATATGGAGCACAGCGAACGTCGCGATGGGCCGGAAGGGATGATGTATGTAGACTGCGAAGTTTAGCGACCTGGCGATGGTCACGCACGCGCTCGTCGGAGATCGTCGCACGTCATTGCTCGCGTGGCAGGCGCGCTGCACGAGGGAGCTGGCAGGTGCATCCCGACCAAGATCGATCTGCGTGGTTTCACCATCTTGACAGGCTTACAGAAGCTTGACGGATATGTCAGATGCAGCATCAGATAAGCGATGATTTGTTGGTCGTGTTTTACGCGTTCTCGGGTTCCAAGACACGCCCTGCGCCTTTGTCGGAACGCTTCTCGGCCAATTCCGACCTCATTCCTCCAGCCTCTTTCTTTCCACACCTTCGTCACGACTCATCCGCGTCAAGCGTACAACACGTCGAGAGACCGCAGGCTTCCTTTTTGTCAATAATTCTGTCAGATCTGAGTAACATGTATACCTCATGATGCTTTCAGATCGACGCGGTACCCTGCATGAGGACGTCTGTAGACCCTCAGGTACTGATTAGCGCAGCCACGTATTCGGCAACTTGCTTTTCAGATCATCGCAGGACATGTGTATACGTACTTCTGAAGACCCTCAGGTATTTTTCAGGTCACGAAGGAATCACGAAGATGACGCGTGCAGAACTTCAACAAGCCATCACGGAGTTGGACGCAGTCTGAGTACACATTCTTCTCACCAACATCATCGTTTCAGGGTCTACTTCAGATTGAAAACCAGATGTATAATTCCAAAGTCTATCTCAAAAGGTCTAGGGGTATTTGCATTGCCATCCCAAACGCCTTGCTAAATCGATCCCGGATGCAAGACTCCTTTCACCAACCAAGACTCCAGAAAGCAAATACGAAGGAAAGCGTAGGCCCCTCCTCCATCTCAAGCCGCTCCAGCGCCGGGAGAGCCACCGCCTGGAGAGCCAGCTGGACCCTTGCCCTTCCCGAAGGAGGGTGACGTCGGTGACTGTGGTGATCCTTGACCTCGTCCGGAGCCGGCTGAGCCGCGACCTCGAGGAGTACTGGAGCCGCGGCCAGTTGAACCACGACCAGACCCTGGCTGATTGCCGGAGCTGGAACCTCGAGGAGTGGAAGGACTACCTCGACCGCGACCGCCAGAAGGAGGAGACGTAGCGACATTTCCGCGTGTACCTTGAAAGTATTAGCTCAATCTCAAGAGAGATGTGACGAGATTGCTACTTACTCCTCGAGGGAGTCGAAGGAGGCTGTTCGGCGCGGTCGAAGACAGCATCTCCTGCGACCTCGTATTCCTCTTCGGCATCTGTGATGTGTCAGTGTCCAAATTCTCTCTCATCAACATGTATTTCACTAACCTTCACCCAGATCCTCTCCAGGCAAGCGATCGCCCCTCACAAGAGAAGCATGTTCCTCCATCTGGATTTCCCAGTACTGGTGTGCGAAAGCGCCGAACTTGGGACGACCAGGCTGCGTGTACTGGAACTTGACTCGACGACCAGTAGGCGGGTCGAATACGCGGTAGCCCGAGTCGTAGAACTGGAGAGCATCGCCCATGTTGCAGCGTACATAGTCTTTGCCTTGGAGTATAATGAAGCTCCTGGCGTTCTTGTCGCTGCCAGCTACCCATGTTGCCTGTTCGAGGGAGGAGCCGTCACCACCGTCGTTTGCACCTTGGGGTAGGGCGTTAGGTCCGTACTGAGGTGGATTGGACATGTCGGATTGAAAGTGTAGTGTGGGAGTTGTGTTGAGGGTGTGAGAGTTGTATATAGTAGTCGACTCGAAGGTATGGTAGAAGAGTGGTGTTCGATGTCTGAAGGAGGTATATAGTGGTCGAAGTGTACTGTATATATCGAAGGATTATTGATCAAGGAAAGACTCAAGGAGGAACCAGATCAGCGGTTTATATGGACAGCCCAGATCCGAAGACAGGAACCCAAGACCGTTTGCTTCAGGCGTCAGGTGCATTATGGCGCCATTATTTCCGTCTCTCACTCAGCGAAAGTACCTCTGAAGGCGCGGTAAAGGAGCGCTGCAAACAGCCTTTATTTAGAGAAGGAGCGATGACGGCATCAATTACTGGCGGAAGAGGAGCGGCGGAAGAGCGCAAAGACATCGGAGGAAAGAGCGGTGGTCGTGCGCCCCTGACTTGATCTCAACTGCCCATGTGGAAGAGATGGAGTGGAGGGTGTGAACTTACGTGTTATGAGAGCCTCCGGCGCGACTTCATATACAGATTTTTGGGCTTGCTTCTGGTGGGCACGTGGCTTAAGCAAGCAGCTTCATCCATGTTGCGCCTAAGACAATCGTCTTGTGCAAACTCGACGATGTCCTCAGTTCCATATTGCTACGCAAAAGACGGGATATGGTCTGTCACACGAGCATTCGATTGTAAAGCAACTCAGCGTCAGAAGACTCGGTAGACACTCATCAATGGGCGGTATAAGGCATTACGGTTGCATTACATAATGCCACATCGTATTGAGACTCGTTCAGCGTGCTAGAGCTCGAACTTTTCTACTCAGAAAACAGACTCTCAAGAATCATGCCATATGCCTCCGCCGCCTGCACAAGTTCATCTTGACTCAACATCTCATCAGGTGTATGCGCAACCTCAATCGTGCCTGTACCAAACAGATACTTCTTATCCACTTGCGGCAAGCTGGGAATATCCGTTCCAAAGAACACAGGCGCAACTTCAAGGCCCTCAACGTCAGTGTCGAGGATGACCGCGGGGTACCTAGCATTCGAGAAAACGACCTCGAAAGTAGCATTTTCCTCCTTTGCGCGCGTCTCGAACGGTGAGAGCATCCCAGCAATCATGTCTTGCACAAGGTCGACTGCGTCGTCTTCGCTGCGAGCTATACGAACGGCGATACTTGCGTTAGCATGGTCGGGAACGACATTGCTAGCGACTCCACCCGCAACAATTCCAGCGTTGAGAGTTGTTGCGCCTAGTAGCTCACTTCTCGGCAGAGCCGGTTCAAGCATGTTCAGTCCAACAATGGCTTCGGCGAGATAATTGATGGCGCTCACACCGAGCCAGGGATATGCAGAGTGAGAAGATCGACCTGTGATGTCCAAGCTCACACCCAGGTATCCTTTGTGTCCGCTAGCTAGCTTGCCTTCCGTTGGTTCCCCGAAGATACCTGCGCGGAAGGTGGTGTTAGATGCGTACTCGGCGAAGGCTCTCATTCCGGCACCGCCAGTCTCTTCGGCGACAACGAACAGCATTCCTAGGCTGGGCGTATCGGTCCTAGATTGGAAGAGCTTATGGGATGCGATTATCATTGTTGCAACGGGGCCTTTCGCGTCGACCGAGCCACGTCCGAAGTGATAGACTGTGCCGTTCTCTTCCTTGCGCTCGAATGGGTAGAATGGCGGTACCTAATTTTGTGTCAGACATTGTTTTTGAAGCATGTCTCGGGTCGAATATGCTTACAGTGTCGATATGACTAGTGATCAGAACTTCCGGCCAAACTCCCTCATCTTTGAGGTCTTGGGGATAAGCGAAGACGTTGAAAGTGCCAGTGTCTCCAGCAGGGATTTCTTCGACGTAGTACCCCAAGTCCGAGAGATATTTCGATATAAACTCCGCGCATTCAACTTCATCCCCAGAGATAGAGGGGATATTGACTAGCTCTTCATGAAGACTGTACAGATCTTCCGTCTCCTCAGTAGTAAGAGTCGCTGAACTTGATGCGGATGGACTGGGAGAGCTCACAGCCGATGGTGACACTGAAGCTTGCGGTGCTGCTATGGTCAACCCCAGGGATGCCAGAGCTGCCAGAGTTTTGATGACGACCATCTTGGCGTTTGGTACGAGTGTTGGCACTTTGAGTATGTTTCTGCTACTTGTGAACTAAGGGTATACCCCATTCTTATACCTTCAACACAGTCTTGAGACCTCGGAAGTCGAAATCCAATCCGCAAAGACGCAATCCGCCTTAGTCATGATCCACGCTGAATTAACGCTCTAGACGACGGGGTTTAACGCGAGGTATGGATACTTGAAGGTTGGCATACGTCGTTCGGCATGTAAGTTCCTCGCTTCGCGGTTTGCTGAACGTTCTATCCTGGCGTGGCCAAGAAGCCATATCTCCTAGAGATACAGTGAAGACGTTTTACTGGAGTGTCGAGGGACTACAAGCACAAGCCAAGGACTTCGTTGCAAACTAAGGCATCTAGCTTGATATGACGGAAGAAGATAGCTGGTTTACGTAAACCTTGCCGCGTTCTATTGTTCACGATAGCTTCTTCTTCCGTGGTTTGGAGAAGAACGGGATGATGTCAACCGCGACAACGGCCGCAAACGCGGGGTGCGGAGCTGTTATCGAGCGCAGGGCTCTGATAAGCGGTATCTTGGCGCCATGGCAGCATAAGAAGCGTCTTGGTAGTTTCCCCGGCCTGCCATTTCGGATGTTTATAAGGCGAGGTTGTAAAAGCGGTACAAGTCTCGGACGTAGGCGCGTCAAACTGTGGATGTGCACAATAGGGTTCCGAGCGCAATCAGATATGTAGACGAGCCGAACCTTCGCTAACCCCGTGGTATCTGTTTTATTCAATTTTCGAAAAAAAGAAAGAAGTATACAGTAGCTGCACCGTGCAGTCGCGTGGGAAGGGACCGTATCGTGATGACGTTGTCGCGATTAATGGCAATGATTACTTTGCATCAAGGCACAAGAACGTGGCTGAGAACACCCAAGTGAAAGGTATCGAAGCAGAACAAAATACTGATGAGCCTAGGGGAATATGAAGAGATGGAAGGCAAGAAAAAATCGACATGTTAAAGTGGTGGTGCTGGTAGCTGCCATGATTGGGCCGACACGCGTTCGCGACGTGAGTTTGATGGGGAAGTCGCGACCGCAACTACCGCCGAGAACGATGGGAATCCACGTATAGCTAGTCGGTGTGAGAGTCTAATGTCCCTGATTACAGTTCCTAGCATCGCGATCAGACTCTCTTTAGCAGCTGACGTTCGGGAGCTCACACACAAAGGACCGAAAGTGGATAGCGCGCCGCCCTTGACCGCCGACTGACGACTGACGTACATCGGATGGATCATCAGCCTGAGCCACTCCACATCTCCGCCCGCGTATCCGTGAGGCTTGAGCTTTCGCTACCTGTAGGTCCTGGTCCTGCATCTCTCACCTAAACACCTACACCCAAAGAAGACGCCCAACGCCTGCAATCATGTTCGGCTTTGTCGCCGACGGTTTGACGTAAGTATTACCCCGCCCCCGCCTGCAGCTGCCAATTCTCCAACAAACTTTGGTGCCTGACGAAGTATCGTGAGCTCGCCGCTTGCTTTATTGGAGCTCGCATGACTGCGACATGCAGTATTTTCTTTTTGCTGCGACGTATTCGCATAGAACCTAGCTAATATGCCAATAGCGTTGCAACCACCGTCTTCTTCCCTATCTTCGCTTCCTACAAAGCTCTTCACACCTCGGATCCAGCCCTCCTCGCACCCTGGCTGATCTACTTCGTCGTCCTCTCCGCCTTCACCGCCGTAGAGAACACCTTCGACTTCATTCTCAGCTGGGTGCCTTTTTACTCATGGATTCGCTTCTTCGCACATCTTTACTTGATCCTGCCTGGTTCGCAGGGCGCAAACTACCTGTACCAGGAGTACATGGAGCCTTTCCTATACCACCATGAGAGGGAGATCGACGAGTTCATTACACAAAGCCATGACCGTGCCAAATCGGCAGGCATGGCATACGTCGAGATGGGCATCGAGTGGGTCAAGGTCAACGTCTTAGGCTTCGCACCTGGAAAGCCGCAGTCGCCCAGGCCTGAAGGACAGACGTACGCACAAAACCTTATGAGCAGGTTCCAGATGCCGTCGGCGAGGGGCAGCAACGACCTATACGGGCTTGTCAACCAAGCACTCAGCGGAGCCAGCGCGCTTTACGGTGCCGGTAGCGCAGGCACTCGAGATGCGCAAGCCTCAGATCTGAGCCGCGGTGCTGGGAACCTCGTCCCAGACTCCATCCGCAACAACAACGACCGACTCGACTACGTTGCGTCGCAACGCCAGCGCCTCGAGACCCTCCTGCAAGCATTCGATCGCGAACAAGAAAACATCCGCACACAACAAACAGGCGGAAGCAGATACCATGAAGTCAACAGGAGTACTGGAAGCCTCTCTGGTAGCCTCTCCCGTAACAGGAGCGAAGCGGAGTTCGACAGGATCGAGCGCGACGAACTGAGCTCTGGCTCCGACCGACCACCGTACCCCCTCACACCACCTGCACTCGGTCGAAGGACAAGCAGTGGCTGGATGCCGTGGAACTGGCAGCGTCAGGAACTCCCTCGGGACGATCCTCTGGCGTATGGAAGGGAGCCAAGTGATGTGAGAAACAGATCCAGGGCTTCTGGTTTCGAGCTAGGCGACCGCTAGAAGAATCCCTGGAGGACAAAATCTGTGATACGACGGCGATGATTCACGGCGTTTGGGCAACATGGTAGATGGTATTCTGCTAGGCTTCACAGGTACACTGAAGCTGTGTATATTTGGTATCCCAATTCATGAGTACGAGTAGGACTAGTCGTCCTGGTGATGTTACAACCTATGTATACAACCACGTCTGGCTTGCGTGAGGTTCTATGCCTGATATTCCTGAGATTGGGTTTAATCCCTTCCAGCTATATGATTCCCGGCATGACTCAAGCCCACTTACAACTTCACCTCCTTGTACGGATACTTGGCA